TAATATATATGAATGAAGTGTGATATGCTTGCTATTTCTCCAAATGCATGTCAAGAAGAATCTCACCCAATATCTAGTATGTTAAATACCGGTACTGTGATCTAATGTGGTATTGTGAGTGTCTTCTACTGACCATTAGTGTACATTGAACAAATTGTCCTGTGTCATACTTGTGTCTTTGAGCATCAGAAGGGGACAAAGTCAGACTTGTGAGTATTTGAGTCGGTTCTGGTCTGCTACAAGAGGTCGTTTTTTATTTGGGTTTTTTGGGTTGTTTTTTTTTCTTTGGTGGGGGGGGGGGGGTAAGAATTGAATTGAGAAGAATTGTGAAACAATAGCCATGGAATTGCGACGGGTTCTCGGTTGTCATATGTGAAGCAGCTTGGTGGGATCAGGCTCTCGTCAAAATAATCAAAGTGAAGAAACTTGCAATTTTCCGCAGGTTTGTGAATTTTTATCAAATTTTTGTTTTTTGGCTCAACACCTTTCATGCCCTTTTTCTGTGTGAATTTTTCTGAAAAACGTTGATTAAAGGCACAAAAAATGTAAATGTTCAGTTACCACGGAATCTTAAGCTAAGGAAATAAATTATCTTTGGCGGCCATTTTCTCACTAACTTTACCTCTGAAAACAGGTGACCCCTACCTCCTTCATTTGCATATATCTCGACTTGTATTCAAAACAAATGGATATTTTTTTCATCCAAATAAAAGCAAGTGAACAGGGCTTTAAGATGATACTAATAACTCCACATTCCCAAAAATTGAGAGCGCCTGATTCCACCACGATGCCTCACATATTTTGTTAGGTTTGCCTGGATAGTGAAGATAAAAGGGGCAATTTTTTAAATTGTTGCCGGGCGTTCAAGACATAACTCTCCTTCTCCGTTTTTAGGCATGCTTTGAATGGGTAAAGTCGAACTAAGTAGTTGAAGTTGCTGTGTTTAATCAAGTCTCGCTGGATGCTCCTTAAGCTGTGTTTGCAAGTCACTGTGGGACGTTGTACTGTGGGCTTGCTGGAAGAGTGACAGCTTTTGTATGTTTTCCATTGCTGGAAGAGTGACACATTTTGTATGTTTTCCATTGCTGGAAGAGTGACACATTTTGTATGTTTTCCATTGCTGGAAGAGTGACAGCTTTTGTATGTTTTCCATTGCTGGAAGAGTGACACATTTTGTATGTTTTCCATTGCTGGAAGAGTGACAGCTTTTGTATGTTTTCCATTGCTGGAAGAGTGACACATTTTGTATGTTTTCCATTGCTGGAAGAGTGACACATTTTGTATGTTTTCCATTGCTGGAAGAGTGACACATTTTGTATGTTTTCCATTGCTGGAAGAGTGACACATTTTGTATGTTTTCCATTGCTGGAAGAGTGACACATTTTGTATGTTTTCCATTGCTGGAAGAGTGACACATTTTGTATGTTTTCCATTGCTGGAAGAGTGACACATTTTGTATGTTTTCCATTGCTGGAAGAGTGACACATTTTGTATGTTTTCCATTGCTGGAAGAGTGACACATTTTGTATGTTTTCCATTGCTGGAAGAGTGACACATTTTGTATGTTTTCCATTGCTGGAAGAGTGACACATTTTGTATGTTTTCCATTGCTGGAAGAGTGACACATTTTGTATGTTTTCCATTGCTGGAAGAGTGACACATTTTGTATGTTTTCCATTGCTGGAAGAGTGACACATTTTGTATGTTTTCCATTGCTGGAAGAGTGACACATTTTGTATGTTTTCCATTGCTGGAAGAGTGACAGCTTTTGTATGTTTTCCATTGCTGGAAGAGTGACACATTTTGTATGTTTTCCATTGCTGGAAGAGTGACACATTTTGTATGTTTTCCATTCCTTGAGCTGAGACTAATGGCAGTCTGAAGTGTCAAAACTACTTGGGAATTTTTGTTTCAATCCAGCTCTGAACAGGCGACGGTTTCAATATATAATGTGATCTTAGTAGTTTCACCTGAGATTCTGGTTCTGAGGAGAAGGAGAAATGCTTGTTCTGTATGTGACTGAATCAGTTGCTCCACATTTGTGTGCAGTGTCTTGTTGAAGGAAAAAAAAAAGTTTTACTATTCTTGGGAAAGTTATATAGGAGTAGTTTAGCAGCCATCTAAGTGCAGGACCTTTTCTTTGCCGTGACCTTAAGGAGTGGGGCTTAGGCATGTCTCCGTGATATTACGATAAACTGATTGTACTTGACAGTGTAGTTCTTTCAAGTTTTTCCATCTGGTCTTGTATACCTAACTGCTTAATTAACCACACGTCATTCCGGTTGGAATTGTTGGTATTGTGTGTGGGGGGGGGGG